GCCCTGGGGTCCCCCCGTCACCCACCGCATCTCCGGGCACTGGCTGTCCTGGAGCTGGTGTGAGGGTCCTGCTGGGGCCGACTGGGCCTGGTGGCCCTTCCCTGCTGTAAAACAGGTTTGCAAGGTGCCTCCGCTCGTTAATTCTCATGAGCTCCCTCCTCCTAGGCCCAAAGACCCTGGGGACCGTGAGGAGAGGGCGCAAGATCAGCCCCAGTTCCCCTGCCCCAGGCCCTGCGGGCGCTGCGCCTGGGGAGGAGCGAGGCAGCGGGGGGGCTCTGCAGGTGCCCGGTTGCGGCCGTCTCCTGTGGTATCTGGGCGCCCCAGGCAGCTGCGAGCTCTGATAGAGCCCTATCAGTGGCGGGGCCGGTGCACTGGCGGGTGCAAGTCCTCTGCCTGGGTGCAGGTGACTCAGGACTGCGTCCCCCGGGGGATCCATCTGTGCCCGACAGCAGCGAGCAGAGACCCGGGGGCGAGGGGTGGTGGGTGCCTGCGTGGGGCCTTCCCCAGTCCTCACCTTCCTTCTGCCTCGCAGCGTCTCTGCCCTTCGTCATCCTGACGCTGGTGAACTCCCCCTACAAGCGGGGCTTCTACTGCAACGATGACTCCATCCGCTACCCCTACAAGGCGGACACCATCACCCACGGCCTCATGGCCGGAGTCACCATCACCTGCACTGTTGTCATTGTAAGGATGCCCCGTCCCCTTCCCCCGGGCAGGGACATCCTGGCCCGTTGTGTCCGGGAGCTGGGTCCCAGCACAGCCTGTCTCCAGACCCCCGGCCGGCCAACAGGACCCTCGGGTTGAGCCCTGCTCTGCTGGGGGTCAGGAGCTCCCTCGGGGGCACCGAGACCCACATCCCGTGGGGCTGGTTCCCTGCAGGGAGGGGGAGAGGCCCTGGGAGGTCCTGTGGCAGGGGGGTGCTGGGGGCTCCGCCGCAGACCCGAGAGCCGCGGTGTCCCCCGTACCCCCAGTGCTGGGGAGCCGCTTGCTCGCCCCAAGACCCTCACCCTGCCCCTTGCTCTCCGCAGATCTCGTCGGGGGAAGCGTACCTGGTCTACACGGAGCGCCTCTACTCCAAGTCAGAGTTCAATAACTACCTGGCCGCCCTCTACAAGGTGGTGGGGACCTTCCTCTTTGGGGGGGCCATCAGCCAGTCCCTGACCGACCTGGCCAAGTACATGATCGGCCGCCTCCGGCCGAACTTCCTGGCTGTCTGCAATCCCGACTGGTCCAAGGTGAACTGCTCCATCTATGTGCAGCTGGAGAACGTCTGCCAGGGGGAGAGCAAGAACGTCACCGAGTCCAGGTGAGCCGGGGGCCGCCGGACACGGCCCCTCCACCCGCCTGGCGGTGCCGGGCTCCTGCGGCTGGTGGCAGCCCTGGACAGGTATCGGCGCTCCTGCTGCGGGGCAGAGCCCGCCGAGCGGGTGTGGGGTTTGCGGGGTGCTGGGGGCTCACTCTCATGGCCTGGCCCATCCCTTTTACCCTCAGACTGTCCTTCTACTCTGGGCACTCCTCCTTCGGGATGTACTGCATGATGTTCCTGGCGGTAAGTGCCGTGCTCCGGGTGCACCGTGCCCCCCTTGTCCCATCCCCCAGCCATGCCGGTGCCCTGAGCACCCTCTGGCTGGTCGGTGCCCCCCGCGCTGGGTGATTGCTCCCCCCTTCCTGCCCAGCTCTACGTGCAAGCCCGGCTGGTGGGGAAGTGGGCCCGGCTGCTGCGCCCCACCATCCAGTTCTTCCTCATCGCCTTTGCCATCTACGTGGGCTACACCAGGGTGTCCGACTACAAGCACCACTGGAGCGACGTGCTGGCGGGGCTGCTCCAGGGGGCTCTGATCGCCGTCCTCATCGTGAGTGTCCCCCGCGCAACCCGCTGCTCTGCCATGCCGTGCCACAGGGCTGCCCAAACCTTCTTTCCCCTCGGCCTTTCCCAGGTCCGCTACGTCTCTGACTTCTTCAAGGAGCGTCCCCCGCGGCAGTGCGGTGAGAATGACCCGGAGCGCAAGCCCAGCCTGCCGCTCACCCTGAGCGACCCCGACTGCAATCACTACAGCTACCGGGGCGCCCCGTGAGCCGCGCGGCCCGACCGCAGACCTGCCCCTCGCCACGCTCCGCACCGCTCCCGGCACAGGGACGGGGACGCTGGCTCTGGGCCTCCCGCTGCCGCAGGTTCCTGCGGGACGGCCCTGCTTGTCCCCACTCCCAGCTCCCCGCGGCTGCCGCTGCCCGGCCATGCCTGC